CAGTCACACTTCCATTGCTAAAGGTACGGTAAAGGCATTATGTCACCTTCACCCAATGAAATGCCAGAATGTGCGTGTCGACGTCATCTGTCAAGACTGGCATTGCAATTTGCAGATCACCAGCGATCAGCAGTGAAAAGCGAACGATGTACTGGACGCAGGGTTCCCAGAATGCCGCCCTCAGCAGCGTGTGCGAAGCACAACTCAGAGTCAGAAGTGGAACGTGAATTTCGATTTGATTTCGTAGTCAGATTTTAGAGAAAAACTTCAGCTACCCGTATTTCTCGACTGATACGTCAATGGGAGCTGTAATTTGTATCTGTCTCTTATACACATCTAGATGTGTATAAGAGACAGCATTCAGACTTTTTTACATTTAAACTTGTTACATACTAACCAGTTTTTTTATATTTCGTAGATCAATGTTAATTTTGTTGACAGCATAATATATAGGCCTATCATCAGATACATGATATAAAACTGTATCATCAGCATACATACTGATTTTTGCATCGAATTTTCGAATACATTTTTTTCAATAATGTGGGGTGGATGGAGGGAAAATTCGCATTTTTGATGAGCAAAAACTAAACAGTTCTTTTTACCGGAATAGGAAGAGAAGAGGGTGGGAGAGGGAGACTCGATTATTGTGGGCGCTAGATTTTTTGGGGGAGTGTGGGGGAGGGGGAGCTCAATCCCCTAGCGGCACGGCGGAATGCTATTAAGCCTATTCTTTAACAGTATACTGTTTAATACCAATTCGATGAGGTATGTCATTTGTTTGTTTGTATTTGTTTCGAATCCATACACTGACACAAATTTGGGACGACCCAATTATTAATAGTAACACGTTTCCATTGGGGTCCCAGTAAAATATTAATAAACAAAAGAAAACGGAAGGAAAACATGATAATGCAAGGAAACCAAGTTCAGAAGAACTTAGTTTGTGAAAAAAAAGTTTAGTGCGAGAAATATGTATGTATTTTTGAGAATACTCTCAGTGAATTACGGTGTGTTGGGCGATAATATCCCGGCCATATCCCTTTCTTTGGAACCACTTTTACAATTGTCATTTGATTTGGTACGTACATTGCCGCGAGTTCGTAATTACTTTATGTACCTTTTCAAATAAATCAATCGAAATAAATGCCATATGAATTTCAGTGACAGAAAAAAAGGCCTACATTGAAGGTAGATTGGGTGTATAAAGGAAATGCTTGAGTTGATTATCCGTTGGTGACACAGCTAAACTTCCACCAAGACAGTGAGTAAAAACTTTTTTTTACAGATTTTTGGGTATCCTAGAAATAGAATTTACATTAACATTTAGTTCTGTAATCATCGTTACACTTTACCGGTACCCGTGTTAATGCTTTGATTATATTTACGTAGCCCTTAAATATTTACAGTGGATCATTTTTAGAACTACGTAAAAATCAACTGTCGAGTTTGGTCTGACATAATAATAATAATAATAATAATAATAATAATAATAAGATTTATTAAGCGCACATCTCCACTAAAGTGTTCTTGGACTCATTGCTATCTGAGCATATACACTAGTAGCGGATCCAGAAATTCAAAATATAGGGGGCCCAGGGAAGTACTTTCACAGATGGAAATCTCGGCCCCACCATGGTCGGGGCTGAGGTAAGAAAAATTGTGATTATTTCACCTCTAGAATGTTCGGAAATTAGGCTTAAAATTTGAATATAGTTTTCTTTATATCTCCATTTAAAAAAAAAAATTAAAACAATTTAAGCGGCCCGGACCGACTTTCCCCTCCCCTTCAATCCACCACTGAACACATTTATTCAGACGATCTCATAGTTCAAAGTGAACTTCGGTTTTACATACTCTTGTAGCCTAATCGGTTTTTAATCATCATATGTTTAATTTTCTAATGACTTACAACATGACTAAGTTTTTTTTTTAATCAACATATATTTTTATTTCATACGGTCGATTTTCCATCTTCTTTTCACTTGAAAAGCTCAGGATGTCTTGCAAATATGTTTACTGGTACAACAAAAACATATTTTTGAAATATAAATTTGATTCCATTCGACTTTTTATATATGTGTCCTCAACCTTGATTTACATGTGAACTTCATTAAAATAGGGGCGGGGTTAACAAATAAGTAAATAAATAAATAAAATAAAACTCAAACACCAGCTTTTTATTCTTTGATAGGTTGATAAACTAATAATTTTTTTTATGGGCCTTATAAGTTAAATTCGATGTTTTTTGATGTGATGTGTTTTTAAACATCTGTCTTTTGTAATTGTATAGTTGGCAATTATTTTGAAAACGTCCCATATTTTCATTTCTCTTCTTCTCATCATCAGAACATTAATTATACACCTTTTTATGTATGCTAAGAAGTAATAACGTGTACTTGAAAAATGGCGGCGCTAGAAGATGTGGATATTGATGTTGAATATGTTGAAGATAGAGACAGGTTTGGAGATATTTTGTTGTTCGACTTTTGCCATTCTCATATTTTTAGGGATGTACTTATCCTAGACCTACCTAGGTAAAAATAGGTCGAGGTGCGTGTGTTTATTCCACTAGTAAGCTAGGGTAGGCTAGGCTAATGTCAATGGATGTAGGCTAGGCCTAGATTGGTGGTCTTACTGACCAGGCTACGCTATGTGGTTCCTGAGGCGGTAAGACAGTCAGCAGTAGGCTACTAAAAGCCTAGCCTAAGTCTAGATTATTGAGCAAGAGAGAAGAAGACTTTGACTTTGTCTTCGGACCTATCTTAGCTAGAGAAAGGAAGGAAGTAGATTGTCGTTGGAACGAAAAATTATGACAACAAGGCATGTAATTGTAGACTATTGAACACTGTATTTTCAAAAGAAATTTTCAGCAAATCCTCTGGCCTTCATCAGCTTTATTGAATGCACAAGATTGGCTGTTGCAAGTTGTATACTGTACAATATAAACAATATATATTTATGATTATTGCACCTCAACTGTAGATCGCCCAAAATTGGACTACACATTGCCGGCCAAGAATCGTTGCGCCAAACCGCCTTCCCGTGCCTTGATCAAATTTTCCACTTCCCTGCTATGCTAATTTGCTTTCTGTAGTACTAGGCTTTCAGATATCTATAAAATACATTGGTAGTAATTCCCCCTCACACTCACTCCCATCATTGATTTATGTTTATTTGTTCCACTAGCTGTCTTCACATTGAAGACACTTGGCTGTCACTGACCACGAGAATGGTTGACAGTACAGTACATAGCCATTCAGAGATATTTTTTAAATTTTATTCTGTCACCCAAGGTGGGACCCATAACAGGTTTTCTCCTACAGAGTCAGGGGATCCTGGAAATAATCGTTGGCCAGGGGCATTCATTTCACTGATCAGGTCATGTGCCTAGTGCCTGTCTCTTATACACATCTAGATGTGTATAAGAGACAGGTATTAAAGAGTGTTATGAGAGTACTCTTAGAATTAATAGATCTCGTCATGTCTACATTCTTTAAAAGAGATGATTAGATGGAGAGATCCCAGATCTCATTATTTCTACATCCTTAAGAAGAGATGATTAGATGATCCTGGACATGATTAGATCCAGGATCTTGTCATCTGATCAACTTGTCTGTAGGATGTTGACATGGCGATATGATTATCTTGACATCTTGGTGGCACTTTAAGCTTAAATATATAGCCAATATTTAAGTGATACCCTCACCCTACACTACCCACAATGTGCTACTTGTTACCCCTACTGAGGAATCTATTAATCAATCAACTGAAAAAAATATATATTAATCAATCGGCCGAGTATTCCTAGAGCTCCTCATCGGAGCTAATAGATTGAAAAAGTTATAATATTATAATTGTATGTTTTTCAAACAATAAGTAAATATATATATATTTTTAAATAATTTAGACTTGGTTTAGTAATGATTTTTTAGCTTTCAAATAATTTGTTCATACTATGTGGCGAAGACAAGCCAAACCAATCACTTGTATTTTTTGGGAGATAATGGCCTGATATGAATATGCATTTACAATTTTTTTTTTTTTTTTTTTCTATCTAGATGAACTCTAATATGCCACAGTGGGTGTTACATGATGACATCGACCATAAAAGTCGTTCTACAATTGAGAAGATGCTCTTAGAAGAACAGTATCCTTAAATTAGATCAGCCATGATTGGCTAAAATGTTGTGAATGACACTTACATTGTCATTGATATTAAATTCATGAACCATGATTGGCTAATGTGTTGTGAATGACACGCATATTGTTATTGATATTAAATTAGATGAGCCATGATTGGCTAATGTGCTGTGATTGGCAGATATATTGTCATTGATATTATACAATGACATAAATGAGTATTAAGCAGTTTCTTGTAATCTTAAAAGCTCCGATGAGGGCAGTATAATAGAGGCAGTAGAGTATATTGGCAGCCGCCCATAAATAAAAGAGAATCTATTAATTAATTAGCCAAAAAAAGAATCTTAATTAATCAGCCATTAATCAGAGTATTTCTAGAGCTCCTCATCGGAGCTAGTAAAATTAAAAAGTTATATTATAATTGTATGTTTTTCAAACAATAAGTAAATATATAATTTAAAATAATTTAGACTTGGTTTCGTAATGATTTTTTAGCTTTCAAATAATTTGTTTATATTATGTGGCGAAGACCAGCCAAACCAATCACTTGTGTTTTTGGGAGATAATGGCTCATTATGTTGGAATGTCAACATTTTCAAAATCTATTTTATTGCACTAAGCTAATCTTTATATCTATACATTATGGTATATTGTTATTTTCTCCATTTTCTATGTTAAAACAACATTTTTTTTTACGATTTAGTGATCTAAAAAAATGTCTGAAATCATAAAAAATGTCTGAAATCTCAAGTGCTGTTCTTTAAACAGGCTGTATGTTTAAACCCCTGTAACTTTATAAGGAAATGCCAGATTTAAATGATTCACCATTTATAATTTTCATTTTACTAATTAATAATTGAATGGCCGAGCGGTTAAGGGAGGCGCCGCTACCTATAGCCATAACATTCGGCGCTGGTTCCAACGGCACGCTCGCCTATGGTTCCGGAGGTGGAACAAGTCTTCTCGGATAAGGACTTTAAACCGTAGGCCCAGTGTACACATTTGGCTCGTGTGCACTTTAAAGAACCCAGTGCATCTTTCGAGAAGAGTAGGGGGTTACCCCGATGTACTAGTCCATTCATTCAGCCTCTCCTGCGTCCTAGCTGGTGCCAAACGTAGTGCACCCTTGCACTCCTTTGGACCCCACCAGTGATGGAAATAGAGGGGGATTCTGACGCATGGGCAACCCAGGATCTCCAAATTCACTGCCCAGGCACGCCATCGTTCATGGCGTATAGCATCGTCTTTCGAGACGGCTGGCCTATATATATATATATATATAATTAATAATAATTCTTTTTTTTTTTTTTTTGCGAGGAGGGATTGTCTTCTGCTGTACTGCCCAATCAATCACCACCAGAAGGACCTCACTGGAAATAAGTCTTCTTCTAGACTTTGGGTGGGTTATCCCTTGATGTTTACACTGAATAAATCAATCCATCCATTCTGTGAGTTGAATACATTTGTGTGTAGTCTGCATGTGTTGTTTCCTTAACTCGATGATACAGCCTTTACTCAGGGAAGAGAGTTCATACAAGGTCAGGCCATTCGAAGAACAATCAACTTTTCCGTAAATCCGAGAGCAGGTGAGTGGTGGATCCATGAAATTGAAATACGGTAGAGGGGCTCCAGGAAGGGAATCCCACAGAGAGGGTCTAGAACACCTGAGCCCCACTATGGTTAAAATTTATGATTATTGCACCTCAACTGTAGATCGCCCAAAATTGGACTACACATTGCCGGCCAAGAATCGTTGCGCCAAACCGCCTTCCCGTGCCTTGATCAAATTTTCCACTTCCCTGCTATGCTAATTTGCTTTCTGTAGTACTAGGCTTTCAGATATCTATAAAATACATTGGTAGTAATTCCCCCTCACACTCACTCCCATCATTGATTTATGTTTATTTGTTCCACTAGCTGTCTTCACATTGAAGACACTTGGCTGTCACTGACCACGAGAATGGTTGACAGTACAGTACATAGCCATTCAGAGATATTTTTTAAATTTTATTCTGTCACCCAAGGTGGGACCCATAACAGGTTTTCTCCTACAGAGTCAGGGGATCCTGGAAATAATCGTTGGCCAGGGGCATTCATTTCACTGATCAGGTCATGTGCCTAGTGCAAGACAATCGCTGTTTCTATAAAATGCATTGGATATAATTACCCCCTCCTGCCATCATTGATTACTATTACGTTTACTTTACAGCTGTAGTGTGCATCCAGATACACCCAAAAGGCCTTGGACAGAGGAAGAAACAAATATGTTTAATCATGGGAGGGTAAGAACACATAATTATATTGATAATGATGATAATGATCGTTCACCTGATTATGATGAAAGTAATTTGATCAATATCTTGTGTGTAATACATTTTGCATTATCAAGGTAAATGAATTTTATATATGCCACTGGCAGGTGGCACCAGTTGGGGGTGGGTGGGGCTGACAGCCAGGTTCCCTCATTGGGAAGAAAAACTCACTTCATTGGGGAGAAGAAAGATATATATTATTTACACATTAGTAGGCTCTAAAACCGTTGAAATAAGCTTTTGAAGGCATATCTGGGGGATATGCCTTCTGGATCACTTCCAAGAGATTTTGAGTGATGCCTGACCACTTGCATTCTCGTCAAGAAACTTTCGGGCAAATCATGGTGCCGCAACTGGTTGCATATACTAACAATAAAGTATATTTGATAATATTTTGTAATACTTTAAAATATGATTATTTTATTCATAATTTATATCATTTATTTTGTGAAGGAAATTCATGGAAACAAATGGACCAAAATTGCTGACCTGATACCAACCAGAACAGCATCACAAGTCCGAAATTATGCTGTTAGAATGTTGAGGGTAAATATGTTTAATTTGGACAACTGAGCATTCCATAGTATTAAAAAGTGTCTTTAAATTATTTTAACAGCAGTAAAATATGCAAAATAATATAAGCAAGGCAGATTCTGGGGTGTCCAGTGACGGTATAAAACCAAACCCTACTGACATGTCTCCTTGGAGAATTTTACAATTACCTCTCTAGGTCCAGGTCCAGATCTTCTTTCAATTTCAGATTTTAATTTTTATTGAAGTCCTTTTGAAATCAGTGGCACCCATCACTTTATGGTGCACAGAATACATAAAAACTTAAAGCAAAACTCAATTTAACCAAATAAACAGTAAGAAAAAGCTTGCAATTGTAAGAATAATGGATGTTTGTCCTGGTAATTTAGTTCGTGCATGCCCACAGAATTAGAATGCAAGGCATACTTGAACTCAAAACCATCATGCAAAACTTTGGTGTAATACACACCAAGGACAACTTAGGGAAGTCCTGAGACTTGCTTCCATGGAGTCCTTCGGGTAGTGATTGTGCAGTACACCAGAAGACAATCCCCTATTCTTTTCCTAAGAATGTACTGTGTTCTTTAATGTGCACATGGGCCATAATGCACACTGGACCAATGGCTTTACCGTCTCTTCCGAAAGATGGTGTGCTATTGTAACTTGCATAGCCCTCTAGCTGAAACACAAGGAGAGGCAGCGATGGGAATTGAACCGGGGACCTAGAGATCTCCATGGTTCAGCGCACACACAGTGGCTACCACCAGTTTAGCTGACTGAGGTTTTCACAATTTTAACCATTGCTCACTTATTAATCTTTTCAGAAAGAAGTAAAAATTGTTCAACAAAACACAAGCCTCAAAAAGCAGATAAAAGTGGTTTTACCAAAAGTAAAACAAGACCAATTACGAGTAGCCATTGCATCGACAGAAGGAGCTTCTGAAACTTGTGTCAAACTAAAGAAGTCGCCAAAAAGGATGAAAATTACATCCGTTGCTTGTAATCCACCAGGAGAAGTAATGCCTGGAATAGGAACACCAGGAAAAGGAACACATGGAACAGAAAATTCTGCTCTGAAAGGAAAATCACCTTTGAAAACCACACCTGTTGTTCAACAAGGAGAAGAAGTTAAACTGCAGAATGTTGACTCTGATGAAGACATCGATGTTGATGTCGAAGTTGACTCTGAAGTCGATTTCCCTGGTCAGTCTGGACGACAGCCTTCAAGCCAATCAGATCATCGGAAGTATACTTCCGATGGGTCTACAAAAGCTTTTGATAATATTGAGGGATTAGAACAAGCCAACCGTCTAGGCATAAACTCTTCATATTTTGGTATGAAAAATAGTATCAATGATTCTGTTCATGATATCAACAAGAGTATATTAAACAATGTCCATGTAAAAGTAGTCAAAGTTAATTTAGACAGTGGTACTTCAGTAACTGATATTATCAAGCAAGAACACCACACAAATGATATACTAACATCAAGAAAAGCTAGTCCTAAAGGGGAGGAGATTCCATTTAAACAAATGCGTTTGTGCCTCGAAAAGTTACCTCCACAATGCTCAAAGAGTAAAAGGAGTGGAGTATCTGATTCAGAGAATCGCCAGTCAGAAAATCTGGAAGATACCGGTTTAAACCAGATGGATCAAACCACTGTTATAAACAAATGCATTTCAAAACAGTCTGATAATGTTCAGCAGGACTCAAAGAATTGCAAGTCAGATGAACGGGATGATACTGGTTTAAACCAGACAGATCAGGCGTCTTTTATAAACAAATGCATTTCAAAACAGTCTGATAATGATCAACAAGACTCAAAGAATTGTAAACCAGGAGAACTGGATGATACTGGTTTAAACCAGACAGATCAAGCATTTTTTATAAACAAATGCATTTTAAAACCACCTGATAATGATGAGCAGCATTCTATTGAAAAAAAACATATAGATTCACATGTCGTTCCCAAAGTGTCAAGATCATTAGACCAAGACAATTTTGTTGAAGCGTCAGAGGAAACGATAGCATCAGAGAGTGCAATGAATTCTCAGAGAGTGGTGGATGTAAAGGAGTTTGAAACCTCGCAACGTGACTTAAGTAGAATGGTGAAAGAAACATCAGACTGTATTGATTCTAGTTTTAGCAATACAAATATTAACTCAAAAATGAGTGAAGATCATTTAATGAAATTGACAGAAGAAAATGAAAAGCGTAAAGAGATTTGTGTGAACACAACCAAGAATGACCATTATACACAACAAAATGATGAAAGTGCTGAAAGTACCAAAAGAAAACTAATAATTTCTGAGGGAAATACAGTTCTGGATAACAATGTAAAACAAGGTAAAAATAATGAAAACAAAACACAAAAAAGTCTAATTTGTTTTTTTGTTTTGTTCTAAATGTACTACAGTAATGCTTTTAATTTGTACTAAGAAATTATTTTTTATTTACTTATTCTCTTTATTTTAATTTTCAGAATTGATTTGATTTGTAGATTTATTTATTCTGGCCTCTAACCAAATTCCTCCACTGCAGATATTATAGTAAAATGTCTGGAAACCATTGAAAACATCTGTTCTTCAACCTGTGACTTATTGAAAGATGAGGACATGTAGTTGTAGTTCTAAGTGAACAATGCAAATTTTATCTAAATGTTTGAGTTGATATTTTTGGTGGGCAGATATTTTTAACTAACAATAAACACTATTTTATATGATCATTCTAGCATCTACAGGCAAAACTGGTGTAGCTTCTTCAAACAAAACTGAGTTTCTCCATCCTGACAACGAGCAACAATCATTTGAGACTGCTGTGGACGAGATGACTACACACGAGGTCGATATAACCTTCCAAGCTTATTCATCACGGTTAGGCAGTTGCAAGTCACCAGAACGCTTCGTACATATACGAAACATAATCCTTAATATATGGTATGTACAATGCCAATAAAGTACTTGTAATCTCAAAAGCTTTGAAGCAGGCAGTAGAATGGAGGCAGTAGAGCTAAAAAAGATTTATTAATTAATCAATCAGCCGAGTTTTTCTAGAGCTCCTCATGAGGGCAGTATAATAGTGGAAGTAGAGCTGAAAAAGATCTATTAATCAACCTCATCATGGAGGAAATACATGGCCTCATGAGGGCAGTATAATAGAGGCAGTAGTGCTAAAAAAGATCTATTAATCAATCAGCCGAGTGTTTCTAGAGCACCTCATCGTAGCTAAAAATAGCAGAAAGCTTTGAAAAATCTGTGGCAGTGTAAAAAATTTGATTTTTTAATAAGTTGTAATTCATCATATACAAATAATATCACAGTTATATCTTTTCATTGGTTAGATTGATAGTCGTTGCTTGCCACCGTCTTCAGCTGAACTACAACTATTGCTTGATTTAGTCGTAGTTAGAACTTCAACTACATTGTTTATGATACAAATAGAAGTTTAAGTTGCAACTAGGACTAGATGAAGTTTTAATTCAAAGTTTGAATAGTTAATTTTAAGAATACAGGTGTAAATCACATGACATGATGCTATAATGGTTTAAAAGAGCTAGTCCTGATTTTCCCTGCCTTCAGACCAAATAGCAAAGTCTGACGGCCCCTTGTGTGTGTGTGTGTATGAACAATGGAAATAGATCAGTGTTCTCTCAATAGAAAAATTTTACTGGTAAATTCGTCCATATATAGAGCGAGTTAAGCATATGCAACGTGAGGTATTGCCACTTTTAAGTGGAGTTCTGTGGCTTCAAAAAACAGTAATACATAATGATAGCCTGGACTGGAATGGTGATTGTTTATTGAAAAAAGCGAGCCTAGGCTACCTAGACTTAATATGTGCTTTTTTTTATTCTACCAACACATAATTTTTACTGGTTGGTCAGTTATTTTTACTGGTGAAATTGACGGCTAAAACGGCTTCAGGAGAACACTTTAGATGGTTGTATTCATTCGCTGATCTTCCAGTTGACACATACTTTCTACAGCACATACCAGCTTTCTAAAGAACCATATTTTTTTTTGTAAATGTAGGGAAACTCGTAAACCAAACTATGTGAACAAGTTTTTAATCAGAAAGGAGCTTGAAAAGAACAGGAAGGTCGGCAACGTGAATGACATCGGCAATATCCACAGCTACCTGGAGGAAGCTGGCGCCATCAATGTGGGCTTAGGTGAGTAGAAGAGCAGCAATGGTATAATGTGAGGAAGCGGTTGGTACAACAATAGTGGCTCTGACTACCAACCCTGAGGACGGGGGTTTGAAACCCACACTGATCAAGTTGTTTGTGTCCTTAAGCAGGATACTTTATCCACTCCATTTGTGCATCTATTTTTTTCTCTCAACAATGTTTCTTAAAGACAAACAAATAACATAGGGACCTAAACCGAACCGATCATGGGCTAGGGATGTTACTCCACAATATTCTTCATGACCTGCATGCCCCAACTTTAACCAAACTATTACTGTAGGCATCATGGGGTATGGGCCTTACTCCACTAAAAACCTAAACACCTCCATACCCCAAGTTTGCAGATGGTTGGCTGAAATTAATTATTTTTAAAGAGTGGTGCTAATACTGTATAATGTACTATGTGAAGAACATTGTAAATATGTGCTTGGTAGGGTTTTGACATGTAAACGGCCAATTTTTTTTCCTAGTTTCATCCCATTCGCCAAGGCATAAAGGGCGCCACCATAATGAAAATCATTCCCCTTTGTAATAGAACATGAACAAACGTATGGTATTTATTTTTAGATCATTACTTCTGGGTTCTTCCATAAATCTCCAGAGCAAGAACGGACGTCCTGGTGACCACTGCCAGTGAGTTAAAGTGCAATACAGTAGTGGTATGTTTAGACAGGTGTGGACGTAAACTCGCGTCCTTGAGGCCCTGTGTGAACCCTGTCAGACGTTAACCCGTGGCAGCCAACATGTTGAAAGCATTGGTCATTATTTAATGCTCAAGGAGTTTTAAAAGACTTATTTTGAAATCTTTCAGAAAAACCACTACGTTACTTGAAACCAAAGAGGTGTAAGGAAGTACTTACCGAAGAGAAGAAATCAGAGATGCTGGAAAACAGGAGAATATCTATGGTAATGTGATTATTAACACAATCAAGTGACTCGACTCCGACTTGAACCCCTGGTGTTTCAAGTGGAAGGCCAATGCCTTACAGATGTACCACTTGTGCTTCCACATCACAACCAATCATCAGGATGAACTTTAGGATGATTACATTTTTCTGATGGTTGGCTGGATTTTGTATTTTTAAAATATTAGATGGTGACCCTTTCAGCGTATATTTTATTTATTTTTATTTCAAAAATCCTTAATGGGTGTGGTCCATCCAGCCGAAGCTGATCATTCGGGACCCTCATTAGGGATCCTAGAAGGTAGGCTGATATTCAGAGGCCCTCTTTAAATATACAAAATAATGTGATGCTTCTATCGGTGAAGTCTCTTTCATGAGGCTTAGGTAGTGGAGTTGATTTTGGTCGTGAGAAAAAGTCCTGTTGTCACAGGAATTTAAACCCAGGACCCTGGGATTAGAAGGCAAGCATCTTAACCACTAAGGTATTCAACTTCACACCTAATAATAATGTGAGTGTGTGGGATTGCTGTGTTAATAAAAAAAGAAAGCCTTACTAAATAGGTTATCAACTACACACTACAAGTCTCCTCGCATAATGATTCGGGACAATCCTCTGTAACGCCAGCCAACTGTAGCCAACACACATCACTTACTCCGGGAATTCGCTATCTTGCATCCCGGTGACATAACATTGCAAGTAGTCTCTCACTTCCTTGTCTGCAGTTGGCATTTATGTTATCAATTTTAAGAGTACCATGGTTTTTGTTTTTCTATATTTATCAGGGGAATTATTCTTTTTTTCCATGGTTGCGCCATTTGTGAGTTGACGTTCAGCTGATGGGATGTTTCGACGTGGTTCCTATGCTGCAAACTTTTAATCATATGAGGTTTGCCATCCCAAAACCAACATTAGTGTCCAAACAATGAAAATTGACTTTTCAATATATTTTCATTCGCCACATTTTAAGCTTTAAAATGATAGGTCCATTACTGGAATTGATTTACTATTGCTAAAGTTAAGAGTAAAAGTATTACTGCTTCTCTGAACTAAAGCAGGGGTCCCAAGTCTCCTGGAACTCGGAGGAGTCTCCCAGAAATTGGGGCGGCCTCCCGCATTCCCGCAAGCAAACAAGAATCTCCCGGGAATTAACACATATTACCGCAAATCCGTAATATTTGCATGTTTTCACTGCTTTATTGGCTAACGAAAGTCATTGCCAATGTGTATCGAAATTTTTTTTTAAATGGAGAAAAAGAAAATCATAGAGTGCCATTTCCAACCATTTAGAGGTACCATAATCATAAATGGTGGGGCTGAGATGGTATAGACCCTACATCTCGTCACTCACATCACGAACTAACACAATCAAAGTAGATTGTGTTAGTTCGTGAAATCACAGTAGCGCGTCAAAACGAGCACATATTGGTTGTCAAGCAATTTTGTATTCTTTACCACACAAAAAGTCCTTAACAACAACAGCGCGTATTTTGACGCGCTTTTTTGATTTCACGAACTAACACAATTGAATTTAATTGTGTTAGTTCATGATGTGAGCGACGATCTGTGAAGGTCTCTCCCTGCCCTCCACCGCCCATTGCAAATTCTCGTATCCGAGTTGTTTAAAATATATCAAAAGTGGTCCAGTGGGGTGAAGCCCCTAAAAGTTGGACAAATTAGCGGTTTCAAAGGCCTATTTAATCAGTTTTTCAGTTTACTGGTATGTAGAAAATACAGCACAAATGCCTTTTTTTCTGCCCGAAGAATTGTGGTTGTTCTCACCGAAGGGGGCGGGGGGCTGCCTTCCCCTTCCACTCCAGCTCTATTCTACCACATTATTCTAATTACTCAGTATGCTGGCTTTGGCATGACAAGCCTCATATATAGATATTGGTGCCTAATGTTTAATTTTTTTTTTCATTTTTTAACAGAGACCTAAAAAAAAGAAAGAAGTTGATAGTGATGTGGAGGAGAAGTCTCCCATTGCCAGGTAAGAGTGTCTAAGGCTTTGTCCACACTATGGAATTTTCTTTGACAAAAAACTATTGTATGCCCATATGAGGCATGTTGTGGCGAAATGGTTAAGTTGTCGCATAGGCCAGTATTGAGTAAATGAGCTATAAAATATGGGAGCTCATAAATGTGCCTAAAAATCCAAATTTGTTTTTCACTATAGATCAACAGTTTAATGTCTTATTAATCATGTCCCAAAGTATTAGTTCTGGAAGTGGTCAACAAATTGTTTATTTATTGTTATTTAGATAGTTAATTCTATTAAACAATGTATGTAGAAATAACTTTGGAAGGCAATTACTCAAAATCTTGTTTATCTTGACTCTAAGAGTGCTGTACTTTCACATTATAATAACTTAGGCTTGAAATGTCCAATTTCAATAAATGACCCCTCATTTTAAAGATCACATACTTAAGGTATCTGAAAATACCAATAACTTGAATTTCAATTTTTGCTACAACTTGGCCATTTTGCCACAACATGCCTCAATATCATGATGTGATGTCATCTTTCGTATTTTTCTAAATGACTATATAATGCAATAAATTTTTATTTTTATTTCTTGACTATAACAATTTTTTTCATAATTGTTCTTTGGATAAATTTTTTTTATGGATCAAATTTTTGACTTTAATTTTTAATTAAGATATTAATTTTTCATTATACATACATTTTACATTAATAATTCATATATATTTAACAGCAGGGTTTGAATTTCCTCAAAATGCTCCATCAGCAAATAGTTGCTGTGGGATATGACTTTACTACAGCAAATTATTATTCTTCTAGAGCAACAAACATTTATTGTTTTTAAGGGTGAAATTCATTGCTAGGCCTAGCCTGGGTTAAGCAAGTCAACAGCTAGAAGCTTGCTGTTGTCGCACCTGGGATTTACCACCACAGTGGAAGGCCCTTCTACAGCAATTGCTGTTTGGAAATTCAACCACTGCTAAGTAAATAAAGTTAACTGAAAATGCGTTAAAAATCATGACCATATTAAGTCATGATTTAAGCATGGCACATGTTTTTGGCAAATAAAATTTAATAGTCTGGCTGGCTTAATTGTGTCCATTTGGCAACCAACTAGTTGTTAATGTGTGTTCATTTAACCTTGTGATAAATAGATAACTGGTTTAATTCCATCACTGCTCCTTTTGTGTTTTATTTAGCTGGAGGCCTGAGATAAGGTTACTGTAGTGTGCTATCTCTCTAAAGGCCTTTAATCCCATATGTATGTAGGCTTTGTAGGCCTGTTAAACAACTTTTTAATGTGATTAAACATGAATAAAAGATTGTGTCCAGCTGTGACCACCATTGACTGCCTTTTCAGTAAGAATGTATCAAGATCTACTAGAAGTCATGGAAGACCTGTTAATTTGATTAAATACCAATCTTAGTTCAAATTTATTTTTAATTTTATTTTATTTATTCTCCCAGAAAAAATATTATATTAATAATAATAATAATAATAATAATAATAGTTATAGTAATAATAATAATAATAATAATAATAATAATAATAATAATATAAACAATAATAATAAATGTAAATCAATTTAAATATCATTTAAAATTAAAAGTATAATGAAATAATTTCAAATATCAGGATGGAGGATATTCCACAATGATCTCACAAATCTAGTTTGAATTGAAAATTTAGAAGAGTCAGTTTTAGATTTTAAATGTTAAAAGATTTGGATGACGATTGTTGATAATGAATTTACTAGAAAGAAAAGTCCATATAAATAAATCCATACATACATTTCTAGAATCAAGACGCAAACATTTAAACAATGACATTTGGTTTAAAGAAATACAGTACAATATTGGAATAATAAGTGGTGAACTGGTTTAATTCCATCACTGCTTTATTCAGCTGGAGGGCTCAGATAAAGTTTACTGTAGTTTTTCATCTCTATTTTTTAGTCCTAAATATGTAATGTAATTAATAATGGATAGAGGATTGTTTCCAGCTGTGACCACCATTGACCGTCTTTCCACATGAAGATCTACTGCAACTCATTTAAGAAGTCCTGTTAATTTTATTAAATACCAATCTTAGTTCAGATAAATCCATAAATACATTTCAAGAATCAAGAATCAAGAATCAAACATTTAAACAATGAAATTTTGTTTAAATGATGCAAAATAAATATACAATATTGGAATATCAAGATTTAATATTATAGCAAAATTCAACAATTATTATTTTGTGGAATAGTACCGTATTGTATCAATATGTTAGACCTGGACAAAAATTCAAGGTTTCATATAAGATCAGCATTTAGGAAATGGATTCCATTGGCATCATATTGGTCTATGTTTCTGCTGTAAAGCTCAAAGTAATCATTCCTGTATCTGTCTATGTTACTACTGCCTTTTTTTTGCGTTTGCAAAATCAGTTATTGACCGCCCATCGCCGTGAAATTTACGTTCCTGTTTATTACCACAAACAGAATTCTGATATTACACATTTTAACTGTAGCACAGTTCAGTATTGTGAAGGTACGTCAAAAAAAAAAAACATTATTGTGATGTTGCATCTGGAAGTGTTCCAGATTGCAAGCTTTTATCACAAATCTATTCTCTTCACTACAGGATGTGCCGGACTCAACCAAAACAGAAGCCCAAGCCATATGATCCCTTCAAGCTCATGGCTTGCTCCAATTTCTCAAGTTCAACCCCGGTAAGTACTGTGAATATTTAATATAGAATACAGACCTTGCATACTGTTATGCTTTCGAGTTTCTCGTTTCAACATCTATTTGAAAGGAAGGGTGGGCCCCCAGGGAAGGATTCGCCAACCTTATGATTATGGCAACTCTTGATGGACGAAAATGGCATTCTCATTTTTTTTTTTTTCTCAGACTAGAATTTTAATACAATTTTCTTTTTTTTTCCATTATTTTATTTATATATAAAAATTTAGTGTGGGTGGGGAGGGATAAGGCTGGCTGGGACCCCATTGAATTCACCACTGTATTGTCACATTGTTTCATAACTATTTTGTGTACACATGATTCTTTTAGGCCCCTCTGAAATTGAAAGTATCGTCCAAGTCACTGGTCGTGATGGACCTACATGCGCATTTCTCAGGCACTGAGGTGATTGGATTGCTTGGGGGAAGCTATGATCAGCATCTGGACCTGCTAATCATTAAGACAGCTGTCCCTTGCAATAGCCTCAGCACGGGCATGCAGTGTGAAATGGACCCTGGTAAGACAGTATTCAACAATACGTATGCCCATATATAGTCATGATGTGCCTATATATGGTCATGATGTGATGTCATCATGACCATATTTAGGCATGTCACATGTTTTTTGTCAAGCAAAATCTGATCAAACAAAAATCTGATAATAATAATGTTGTGCTACCCCTGACTTACACGTACATACTTTGATTTGTTTTGCAGTTTCCCAGACTGAAGCCTGTGAAACCATCATAAGCAGTGGTCAACAAGTTGTTGGGTGGTATCACAGTCACCCAACATTCCCACCAAATCCATCTGTTAGGGACATTGAAACACAAACACAATTTCAGGTATAGGAAATGTTATTTTTGTTTCCTTTAAAATTAAAACTGCATTTCTTTGCCATGGTTAGAAGAAAATTTTTTATGAAATACATGTTTAATTTAGGCTTTGGTGATGTTACAAACATAGGCTTTGGTGACTTCGAAAGGCTTTACCATAGGCCTAGTGAAGATAAGTGTTTCAAACATATATCACAGAGGGAGTTCATATCCCTACCAGCATAGGACTTGACCTAGTTGAAACCCAAATATAGGGCTTAGTATTTAGTGTCATGTACCTATCCTAGGCCTTAGTGGCAGTGAAGATTCTTATTTTTGGGTCATTCTAGCTCAAATCAACCACCATGCAACTGTGATCCCCTTAGATTTTCCTTTAAAAAATTCTAAAAATACCTTTCTTTGTCAAAATAAAGAATCCAAAATTTCAGCTTCAATTTCCAAGCGGTTTTTAAGCTGCGACTTTTTGAAATTTAGGTACTATGCCCCTTTTTCATTCCAGTAATGGTTTTATTGATTTCGTACGCTTTTTACGAAGCTCTTTCAAAAAGTCATAACTTAAAAACCTCTTGGAAATTAAAACTGAAATTTTGAATTTAAACATAACAAGGTATTTAAAAAATTTTTGTAAAGGAAAATCCAAGAGGGGTCACAAGGGCACTTTCAAATTCTGGCTGATTTGAGCTTGAATTACCCTGTTTTGAATAAAAAAATAATTAATGAAAATATGATTTTATTTTTACAGAGTTGGTTTGTTCAGGGTGGAGCTCCATTTATTGGTGTGATTGTAAATCCGTACGGTAGAAACTTTCAGAACGAATCTGAGTTTCGTTTCATGACAATGTGTGAGCAGTGGTTAGATGGTGAAATGTGTAGTAAGTTAGAGTTAATTATTTTCCACATTTTCTACAATGTAAAACCACTAAGATCTTTAAAATACAATGTATATAATGTGATAGTAGCACTTATGTATAATGTAATTATAGCACTTATATTATGTATTTTTTTAATCACAATAACATACTAGAATATAATATTTTGTAAGAATTAGTTTATGTTAAATTATTATTTTTATCATCATTCATCATAATCATCATTTTTGACTTCATTATAATTATCATCATCATCACCTCCACCATCTTGATTATCATCATAATCATAATCATCATCATCAACATCATCATCATCACCTCCACCATCATGATCATAATCATCGTCATCATCACCATCTCCACCATCATGATGGTGATCGTCGTCATCATCATCATCTCCGCCATTTTGATCATCATCATTATCGTTATCATATCAACTATTACAATTATTATATGTTTTAAAATGGTGGAATGGGAATATTCAACAATAAAATCATTAAATCATTTATCAACATTAAAAGGTTTAAGAAATATAATATGTTAAGATTTTTCCATCTGTTGTAATAAACATTTGGCTTCTAATCCTGCAAGCCCTTCATGGTCGAGCTGAACAGTATTTTAATGAACCTTTTCGTGCGGCTTCCATAATGTATTTAAACATGAAGCCATTCATTTGACCAACAGTGATATAATCCTTTGTGCAAATACGACTACTCTGAAAATTATATATCCATATGATTTTTTTTTTAATGAATTCATAATACAAATACAGTATTAAGATTTAATTTGAAATTGCTTGTGTATGATAAAGTTCTATTTTAGATTAAACAATAAGGTTTTATATTTTCGATCATTTTATATGACTTAGTGGTTTATTAGCTTGCCTTCTTAATCTTACGCAGTTTCTAGTTAAAATTTCATAAAACTCCAAATTCGTATTTTTCTCAAAACTAAAATGGCTGCTCTCTCAGCCTCGTAAGTACAACTACAGTAAAGTTTGATTTGGTGGTTATGAAGTTGCCTTCTGTCCAATCCCAAATTCCTGGGTTTGGCCCTTGGATTTGATCATTGTTATGAAGTAGCTTTGTGCATACTTTGCTAAATGGATTCACGCTTGTAAAATATAATTTTTTAATCATGTTTTAGAAATTGATTGATTGATTAATATCAATTATTGATTGATTGATTTCAGAGCAACCGTTTCAGTTTGACTTTGATGTGGTTCATCCTTTGATTGACAGAAATGAATTAATAACTACAACTATAAGCCTTCTTCGCAAGTTTAAAACATACAACTAGTAAGTTCCATTTATGCTATTTTTATGCTCATGGAATCATCATGATTCCAACCAAAAGATCAAGGGTTTGATTCTTGAGTTTGGTCACATGCAGGGGCAGATTTAGTATGGGGCTGAAACAGTCCTGGGTCCCCCTTTTGGAAAGTCAAAAAAAAGAAAGAAAAAAAAATTGATCGCCCGAAACGACTCAGAGGTTATTTTCGGGCGTCTAGAAAACAAAATTTTTGCAGGAAATGCCCCTGGACCCCCTAGGGTGGTGTTATCTCGATCGTCGTCACTTTGAATCCCCCTTTCGGACATCTCTGGATCCGCCCCTGACTTGCCTGTGTCTGAACAAGGCATTGTATTCATATTTGATAATATTCTTTAAATTGTCCTGAAAGTTCCTACAACTGGACCTCAAATTTTGGAGTTGTGGTAAGTGTAAATGTCTGAAAAGTATGATTTGGGATCAGTGTTCCTGACACCAAAATAACATGTGTAAACAACACCATCTGCAACTCTAGTTGCTTTTACTCAAGGCCTAGGTTATGTGTTGCACCAGGCTAGGCCTGCCAAGTGCGTAATAATATTCAACAATAAGTCACCTCCTTTTAGTTGGCGTTGGATTTTCAAGAAATACATTTGAAGCAAAATCTTACGAAATATTTGTTATTTGATGCAATATTTGGCTTTTATCAAAGTGTGCGTGATTTGACAATACACATCATATAAAGTTCTGATAAATTTGCCATAGTAAGTAGCATTTGAGCTCATAGGTATCTTATATTCAAAATGCATAAAACGACATATAGAATATGGAATATCATTTTTGGAGGACGTTAACACATCCCAATTATGAACCTCCCAAATACTAACTCTGTTTTACGAATGCTAATTATGACAATTGATTGTGGATGTCATTTTAATAATTTCTTTTTATTTTTAGCCGAATTGAGATGTTGGCAAAGTATCGAAGCAAAGGGGAGTTAACGTACCTTGAAAAGGTAATTATACCATTCATTCATCTTACAGTCAACATAATTCCAGTGGTGTAAGTGTATCGTCTTTGAAGACAATACTGGGCCAATTTCGGGGGTGGGCTTGTACCAAGAAAACCCTTTTGCACGAAAAGTACATTTTAAAAGTGACAGCGTTGATCATTTTCAGGGATATAGGTAATTAAAAGGTAGTTTTGAGAATTGCATGCCTAAAGCAAATCATGTTTTATTCTTAACGTATTTATGTGTCACCGTAGCTACTCACGCCAGTTATACTCCAGGCTTTTGCCCAAGGAAAGACCGGTATATAAAATTGGGTGTAAAGTAGGGGGTTGGCTTATTACCCGCGAACCTACAGTATTTTGTAAACTATGTATGCATCCAAATAATAGAAATTAATATTGAAGAATAAATATTTAATTGTTGATTTGAATAATTTTCAGAAATCAATAATTTTCAGAAATCGCAGAGATAAAATATGTCTTCAATTTGCAAATAAACTAATGAATTCTCCTGATTTCCGTAGTTGGTTGCCTAGATCTAGAGGGCAAGAGAGTAGTAGAACATTACGTAATGCTAACCATCTCTCCTTACCCAAGATACGTACAAAACGGTTAAAAAATAATCCAATCCCTTATTTGATAAATTTGTGGAATAAGGATGCTTCAACAGACTAGTGCTTTTATTCTTAGTTAGATCATGAGTTACTTTTAATTGGATTGATGGTCACTTTAACGTTAATTGAGTTTTGGAATTGTGGATTTTTGTTTTATTTTTGTTACTTGCACTTCTTTGTTGGTTTCTTTTTTTCATTATCATTAATTAATTGGTCCATGGTTTTTTCTTTAATGTAAAAATGTGAATGTAAAATTGTGTCAATACAGCCTTTGGCTGCCAGGAACAATTTTTGATGTTTTTATGAATAAATATACCTTGAATAACAGATGTTTTTATTAATATTAATGAATAAAAATTCAGTTCAAATATTTAATTTTTTTTTAAAGGTTTTTTACTTCCATTCTGGCAGAGATTAAAATAATCATAAAAAAATATCAATAAAAATTTAAATAATTTTTCACTCATGTACATTTACATCATTTCATAAGATAAGATTACTTTATTTATATTTCACTAATGGAAACTCTGCTCGCCATCACATTATACAATATATACAATATATAAAAATATACATGAATATAGTAATCATAGAATAATAATAATAATAGATGGATTTAATTTGAATATATACAAAGATGCCAGGCAATCTATGTAAAAATGTTCTGGTCCGTTTGTTTTAGATGTTGCTGTCAATAAAAAATTGCCTGATGCTAGATGGGGGAGCCATACAAACTGACCTCATTGAGAAAATCAGGGACGCTGTAATCACAGAATTTAACAAGTAAGATGCCAGTTGTCACTAGGAAATTCAGCTTCTGAAGCCAATGAAAAGACAGCCACTAATTACGGAGTGTAATTAACAAACATCATGAACAACAGAGAGCAGGTGGTATGAAAGAGATGTACAACTAATGGCTGCATGTCAGGTAGACAATCCTATACGTGTGGGGCTGTAGTATGTGTACATGTATTTTTGGGATATGCAGTGTTTAAGTTTGGCGGTCTAGAACAATATGTAACCAAGATCGTAACTCAATGTTTTGTAACAGAAATGTCTGTAACAAGGATGTAAAACAATATTTTATAACAGAGATGTCTGAACATTGTAGTGTTATTTACATAAGTGTGAAATACTTTAAAAACTACAAGCAAATTTTAGCTGCTGTATAAATTAAGAATAATATTATTTATAACGTTTGAGTACGACGTGTCTGCCGGCCCCTAAAGGTGGTGTACGGTACGTAGCATATTATGTAGTAGCAGCCGCCATAGCCTATTCGATTGAAATAAGGTCAGCGCAATTGTCCTAATGTATACATACTGCAAAAGACGCATGGTAAAACCGCCATCACCGTACTCGCGCAAATAAGCGCTCTGTTTGAATAAGCGCTTCTTCTCTCGTATAACCGCCCCTCCTAACGTGAAAATTTCCTTAAGCGCCCCATTTGAATAAATATTATATATTTACAGTATATTTCTGCTGATGGCCAACAAACTAACCACACCCACCACCACTAATTGCATCTGCTATTTTGCTGTTATGTAAATATTCACAGCATTCTTGTCATACCACCACTAATTGCATCTGCTATTTTGCTGTTATGTAAATATTCACAGCATTCTTGTCATGAGCCATGTTCTCTGGACGATTATCTTTTCCGCCTAACCACCATTCGTCCTTATATAATCTTTTTTTATTCAAAAAGTGCCTCTTGAACTTAGTAAGTTCCCATAAGAACCCCTCGATTTTCATCTATTTCCATAAGCGCCCCCTCAATTTCCACTCTGTTTTCATAAGCGCCCCGTTTGAATAAGCGCCCCTCATAAAGTGCAAAAAAATATTTTAAGCGCCCGGGGGCTTATTCGCGCGAGTACGGTAAATGCTTCTTAACTATTATCATCCGAGTGATCTGTAATGATAGTGGTCTTTTGCTTCTATCAACTGTCCATGCATGTCATAGATAGAAAATAAATACAATAGCAAAAAATGAGAAGAATTATACAAGAATAAGTAAAATAAATGAACTGATCATAGAAATACTATACAGGTAATTTCTTCCACTGCTGCTCCGAGCAACGACAAAGAATTTATCACCGTAAGAATAATGTAGTGGAACCGAATGCTGTTCATCTGAGAGTGTGACTACAAATGGTTGAGCGCGTTGCTTAGTTTGGTTGCTGTTTCCCCCCACCCCCTTCAATATTTAAAGGAATATGTGCTTTCAAATTTTAGAATGAAAAGTGAGAATAGCCCTATAGTCTGGGTAAATAAGCCCCAGGTTCAGGAAAAACCAGCCCCAGGTACAGGGGAAATTTCCATTTTTTAAAGGCAAATGTAAAAGATATTAAAATATTTTTATATGATCAGTATTATATTAATAATTTTATAATTCTAATTATTATTATTATAT